AATAAATCATGAGGGAATACAAACTTATACGTAAGACATATGGGCCTATAAGACCAAAATAACCACTCGTATATCGAATATAGGTCGATAAGGCCATACAATCTTTTACGTACATGACATCTATCTACAAGCCTCTAAGAATACATAATTTTCATAAAGGTCGGGACAGAGTCCCGCCATACCAAACAGTACACGTCTAAATCATACTAACCAAACAAGCAACTCCGAAGCAAATGGAGCGTACCAACATCTTCTGCTGAGCTGATAGCCTACTTGGAGAGCTCTCGACCTTCCTATCGGGACATGCGAGCATGAAATGCAGCATCTCTAGGCAAAAGGGACGTCAGTATAAATAATGTACCGAGTACGTAAGGAACATAAATAAGTACATAACAGACATAGAAGAAATATAGAGTAAATGGCTCAACCTGTAAGTCTGGAAAACTTTGTAAATCATGAAATACTTAGTCATGCATATGCATATGAATGTCATGCCATGCATAGGTACATGTTTCATAACATCATCAGCCTTTGAGGGCATCCCATCACATCATCTCGGCCACTGTGGGCAAAATCATCAACGTATACCAACTAATCAGGTGGTGGTGCGTATNGCATGAGAAGTACGTCAATATAATTTCTTGGAACATCATAAGACCATTATACCTCTAATTAATATCATGAAAAAAAACATTATCAACTTACGTATTTTCTGAAACTCATGAACAGATGATAGAATAATAAGACATATGGGAGTTCAAGAACATAGGCATTTCTAATACTTCTAAGAATAGAGTCATTTATAGAAGTTGTGCTCATCTCGTTCATATCGTATAGATCATGCCAAAAAGAAAGAAGGGATAGCCTTAACATACCTGGGGTAGGGAAAAATTCATAAGATATTCTTGAAAAAGGTTGCATCGTACTCCGTTAGAATCGCAAATTTTTACGTTGGTAAGTTTCCAATAATCCTCGTTGGATTTTGGTTGATTTTATTGAAAGCTTGCTAACGTTCTAGTAAGGATTTTTGGTTGAATGGCTAACATTCAATCTTTGGTTGAAAGAAGTCTTGTAGTAAGAATGTTTAACATTCTGATCTTTAGTATGGAAATACATTTGGTATGGAAAAAAAGTCTTGTTATAAGAATGGAATGATTGTGTAATATAGTGCCACCTTTTAATTTGTAGTATGAGTCATTCCAATTGCATGGGGGGGTTCAACCTCATGTTTTTTTAATACTTATCCAATATATCTTCAATTAATTAGGTAATGTCCCGTTACCCGGTAATTAACCAATTACCCGCATAATTAAGAATTATCTCAACTTACTTAAAATACTACTCTCTTTTAACACACCTTGTACACCTTACTAGCATGGTCATGTAGCACATTGTACGGCACTAGTCCATCAATATCAACTATTAACGCTCGGCCCGTATTTTATCCCAATATGCCAAACTTGAACGAAAAAGTCATTTCCTTTGACTTGCTTCCCCTCTCACCTTCACGAATTTACTCATCATTTGTTTAAAATAGCATAATCCTTATAATCTCCAAATAATCTCTTTCCTTGGATTAATGTCAATTACCTGACAAATTCAAAGTACAATACTACAGGGCACAACATCGTCGTAATTTAATACTGCGAAGCGTAGCATCATCATAATATAATATTGCAAGTCATAACATCATCGTAATATAATACTGCAGGGTGTAACATTATCGCAATATAATACTGCAGGAAGTAACATCATCGTAATATTGCGGGGCGTAACATCATTCCCCCCTTTGGAACAATTGTCCTTGAATGTTGACTGATGCTCTTATCATTTTCATAACTTATAGCTCTTGTGAATGACTTAATGCTCTCCTTGACATTTAGGCAATTGTTCTGTGAATAAATCCAAATGCCAAGGCATTCCCCCCCCCCTTTAGGCCTCTTTTTCACGCCATGACTTATGGCCGGAATCCTTCCAATCTCGTAACTGTTGCTACCTTCTTTCATGCAGCCTGTACGACTCTAACCTTGTAAGTACGCCTAAGCGACCCTCTCTCCTTTTTCCTTCAGCTTTTAGCCAATCTTTAGGCCTCACTTTGTGAACATATACAAAATTATGTCAATCAGTCCCTCTAGCATCATTAGCTTTACTATATCCAAGTAGGCCATACTATACCAAAATTCTTACTTCGATTTATCGCTACTGAGGTCTGCTACCGAGCTCCAGGTTACTCTCGTTGCTTATCCTGTAAGCATAAAGCTAAATCCTGTAACTCTTCTTCATTTCTGTTCATCTTAAGACTGATGGCCCAATCTCATCTCGTACTTTGCAACTTTTACCCATCCATTATTGATTCACCTCAATATTGATTTACAATCATCCCTTGATAAATTGAAATTTGTTACGTAATATATTGCCACTAGGGCTTACGTTGCGTCATGGAATATTTGAAGTGATTTTTCTGATCCACCTGGGTGATACAATATTATACTTTCATAATCGTATTTCATAGCATCCCAATGTGACTCGCCTTACGAGGCTATTTTAATCCTGTCCAATTTATGAAGTCCCTTTCTCTTCTTTTTTTCCAGACCATTGCTCAATCGAAGTCCCAAACGTCGTCCTTTATCTGTCATAATCACACCCCCATTCTACAACATTCCATCTCTTCTAAACGCTATTAGTCTTAGACTCATTTGAGTTCATTCATGCTATAGTGAGCTTTGTATAACTTAGCAAAACCGACTGCTCTTCTTGTTTTCATGGGCTTAATGCTAAAGAATTATCCATTTTCGTTACCTTCTCACTCGCCCTTTCTTATCCTTACTCATATCTTCTATAACCTTGTCGCTTCACCATACAATAGCTTGCGACCTATACATATCTTTTTATATTACTTGCAACCATTTCAACTTGGTTGCATCATAGATTTTCTTATGTCTTTTTGGAATGTCAAGTGAGACATCACATCGTCTCTAACTCTTCTTTATTCTCTTAATCAGGCTTCTCGATACCTAGACCATAGGCTGGAAGATATGCTACTAACGACGCTGCTATTATTACTAGATACTAATTCCCCGCGCTTCTAGCCTTTTATCCAAAGTATGGACTATTTACAATCTTTTGCCTTTGAGTATCTCATACGTTGTTCACCTTTACCTTCTTTTCCTTAAAATCTCGCATTATACCTTCTATCTCTTTCATGACCTCCTTTCCATATAGGTATGATTCACACCACAACTTGAAGCTCTATTATAATACTACAATCCGGTGGAAGCTTCGTACTGACTTCTTATGAGGATGTTGCTTTTTTAACTGGCTTCATTCTAGCCATTATAGATTATGGTTGTTGTATTGCTTCTCTTGCACATCTAAAATTAAAAGTGATTCTTCCATGTTCTCAAGCACAACTTCTATAATTTTTTAGGTCTAAAAATTAGACTCCTGATTTACTTGGGTGATGTAATTCTTTAGTTTCCTCTTCCTTCTGATCAGCCTTTATGTAGGCTTAAGATATCTTCCGATATGTGGCTCATGGTATTAGCTACTACCTTAGACTTTCATAGGCATTATGGAATATCCATGATACAATCTTCTAACAACTCAATCCTTTGTCTATGCCCTAGGCTCAATTCTTTCTTTTAACTTATACCGGAGTCTTCTATGGCTGTGTTATTGTCAACATATATGCTGCATGGATAATGCTCCAAAATCTTGAGTGTATCCATAACGTACTAACTCTGGATCATTGATCGAATAAATTCCTTTCGTTCCATCTCAACTTTCTTTAAACATATACAATTACTTTTCCTGGTTTTTCTGCCCCTTGTTGCGTGCATACTTAACTTATCCTAGTTCCCACGCATGCCAGAATTTTGTGCAACTCATATAGTCTGGAATATTACTTTTAATTTTACTTCCCTTTCATTAGCCATGGTAGGTGCCACTGTCCTTTGGAGTGCTTATAATGTGGTTGTGAGACTTTATAAGACCGTTTCCTCTTTAGGTCACTGATCTTAGGTTGAAGCCTTCTTCCTTATTTTCCTTAGCTTAGTATTTAATTGTAGTACTTAGGGAGGATCCTTTAACTCTTGTAAATATGTGAGCTTATTACATTGAATACCCAATAATATTCATGCCCCGCCAATCTATCCAACATTTAGTCAATGCATGGAAGTGGGAAGTGGTCCTTGCGGGTTGCTTTGTTGAGACTTCTGTAATCAATGCAAACTCTCCACCTCGTCATGGTGCGAGTAGGAATTAGCTCATTTTTTTCATTCTCTACCATAGTCACCTCCCTTTTTAGGCACACATTGCACCAGACTTACCTAGTTGTTGTTAGAGATAGGAAAGTTGATACATGCATCGAGCCACTTAATTACTTGCTTCTTTCATAATGGGATTTAATCTCCTTTGCTACTAAACACTTGGGCGGTATCCATCTTCCAGAAAGATTTTATGCATGCATAACGATGGACTAATTCCCTTGATGTCAGTAATTGTCCACCCAATAGCCTTTTTATGCTTGCGAAGTGCTCTGAGCAACTTTTCTTCTTGTATATTAGTCAATCTAGATGAGATAATCACTGGTAATGTCTCAGAGTTCCCAAAATAAGCATAGCACATATGCACTTGAAGGGGCTTAAGTTCTAGCTTTGGAGCTTTTTCAATAGATGGCTTAAGAGGGGTCAGAGTGACAGGCCTGTCCAACTCCTCAAATCTCCCAAACCCTTGGACATAACTGCAAGACATATCAAGTACTTGCTCAATTTCTCCCATCATCTCATTTTCATTGTCTTCTTCATCCTCAATCAAAGCTCGTTCAAGAGGTCTATGGGCTCATGTAAGGCACCAATGACATAGCATCGCTTTTGACCATAAAAGTCATGGATAGCTCTTCATAGTGGGCTGGCAATCTTAGTGCTTTATACATATTAAATACCTCCACTTGATCACCTACTCTCATCGTCATCTTTCCTTTTGCATACATCAATAATAGCTCAACCTGTGGCTAAGAATGGATGCCCCAAAATAAATAGGTCTTCCTGATCAAACTCGTAGTCCAAGATAGTGAAATCAGCAGGAAATATGAAAGAACCCAATTGAACTAACACATCTTCAATCACTCCTTCAAGATGAGCAAGGGAGCAATAAGCCAACTGTAAGTTTACCATTGTTGGGTGCGGCTCACCCAACCCCAACTGTCTGAACATAGATAGTGGCATTATATTGATGCTCGCTCCAAGATCACACAAAGCTCTCTCGACTGCATGCTTACCCATCGAGATTTGGATAGTGAAACTACCTGGTTCCTTCAATTTTTGAGGTAGCTTGCTTTGAATCCCTGAGCTACATTCCTCAATGAGTGCCAAAGTCTTGAACTCAGTCAACCTCCTTTTATTTGCCACTATGTCCTTGATGTATTTAGGATATTTGGGCACTTCTTGAAGGATGTCTACCAGTGGAATATTGATTTGCAGCTGCTTCAAAATTTCAAGAACTTTTTATACGTGACATTGTCCTTCAGTTTCTGTAATCTTTGAGGGAACGGAGGTGGTGGCCTAGCAACTAATAGTGGGAGTTGCTTAGCCACCACCTTTTCAGTTGGCTTCTCTGACTCCATTGATTTTTCTGATTCTGCCTCTATGGTGGTCGACTTCTCATTAAAGATCACTTGTTTTCTCTTTTTGGACTGTACTTCTTCTAATTGTCTCCCATTCCTCAATGACACGACATTAATAGATGCCTTAGGATTCGCCTCAGTGGCGCTTGGAAGAGCTCCAACTGGTTGAGTATTTTTGGGTACTAGCAAGTTGTCCCATTTGTCGCTCAAAATTTCTCATTGCTATTTCTTGGGCCTGCTGGTCATCCATTACCTTCTTCATTATCTCTTCTATTTGGGCCTTCTAGTCAGCCATAATTTTCTTCATCATTTCCTCAAGGTGACTCATCGAGTTTGCATATTGTTCAGCCTAAAGTGGTCTATATTGTTGTTGAGGTTCTTGTGGCCTGAACTGATTCTGAGCACCTTAATTTCCACCCCAAAAGAAGTTTGGGTGGTTCCTCCAGTTAGGATTGTAAGTGTTCTCATATTAGTTTGTCTGGCCCCTATTTGCATTACCCACAAAATAGACAGACTCTGGATTAACTTGGCATAAGTCGCTCATGTGACCCTCTCCACATACTTCGCAAAACAATTGAACCTGTTGCACTGGCTGGGCTTGTTTCTTATTAATAACCAAGGTCATCTGATCGACTTGATTGTTTAGTGTGGAAATTTGTGCTGATAATGCAGAGAGAATATCTAAATCTAGAACCCCTGCAGATTTTTGCACTGTATTTACCCATCTTTCCTTGCCAATCAGGATTGCTTTTGGAGAATTTGTTCAATAACGGATATATCTCATCAAAGCTTTTCTCCAATAGTTGACCTCCAGCTGCAACATCTACCACAATCTATATCTAAGGATGTAGCCCTTCTATGGAAGTGTGAGCTAATACTCTATTTGTCTGATTGTGATGAGGACAGTCTTTGAGCAGCCCCTTGAACCTCTCCCAAGATGAGTATAAAGATTCCCTCGCTTTCTGTTTGAAGGCAACTATTTCATTTCTGATCTTTACAATTTTGCCTGAAGGGAAGAACCTTGCCAAAAATTTCCTTGCCACATCATTCCATAATGTAACAGAATTAGCTAGTTTTGCCTTCAACCATTACTTTGCTTCGCCTAACAGAGAGAACGGGAAAAGTGTGCACCTCACATAGTATGGAGTGATGTTGTTAGTTATATAAGTATCACTAATCTCCAAGAAGTTCAGGATGTGCTATTGTGGATCCTCGTGTGGAAGACCCATAAATTGCCCATTCGCATATAGTAGCTGGATCATGCTCTGTTTCAGCTCAAAGTGCCCAGTGATTCTGGGCTTCACAACGCTGGAGGTGACATTAGCAATGCTGGGCATCGCCACCTCCTAAATAGCCATATGTTTCTCCTCTACCATGTTCACAGGAAATGAACAAGTGCATAAAGATTATTTATGTCCCTTGCTTCCCTCAACCTCCTATGAAATATTCTCTCCGGTTCGGGGTCAATGCCTTGAAGTCTATCCTACCTTCTGACCCTTCACATTCAATCAATGTTCCTAATAGTATAGCAACAATCAAGTAACGTTAGACTTGAAAAGATAAACAATTAAAGCAAAAATTAGAAAGTATTCAATATTCAAGTCCCCGACAACAATGCCAAAAACTTGTTGCTCCCGAACGCATATGCAAGTATACTTGGTCGTACAAGTAATAAAATGATAAGTCGAGTGTCAAACCCATAGGGACTTGTATTAACTACCTACTAAATTCACCAAGATTGTTATTCCATTGAGTCAATTAGAGTTCGAAAGTGTGATTATACTAAACAATAATTCTAACTAGTAACTAAATTATCAATCAACAAAATGGTTGTTGTGTATTCCATAGATACAAATATTCCAGGGTTGTGATTGATTCACCAATCCTATTGTGTTTTAGTTAACTCTGTCTTTCATATAATTCACCCATGGTTGCTAATTAATCGAACAATTGCTCTCGTAGCCTTCTCCCGAAGTACTACTCGCGTATTCAAAATAGATTCCATGTACGAGTAGTGAAGAAGTATAGATCACTTTAGTTGGTTGTTGACCAACGGAAAGCATGGGAGAAAAAAAAGGAAGAATTTACGCAATTTCTTTTCTACCAAGGCGAGGCACGTCTTTTCCAATGTCAAATATGACGACTCGTACGTCAGCTTCTTTTAACTCATATATTCCTATGGAATCAATCTATTAAGAATGCATTAAGATTGCAATATTTAATTAAGCACGGTGACTAAGTATATTTCTATCCTAACCATAAATCCCCCCCTCCTCCCCAGAGTTAAGATCGTACTCTCTTCAATTCTTCTCTAATCTAAATATGACTTTCCCAAGCATAGCATTGATAGAAAATAGAACCTAACTGTTGGCCATACAATTAAGCAATTAATTACATAATTGAAGAAACAACCATATATTGGTGAATTATAATTAAGGTTAAGTCATCGTTAAATAACAATATTCATGGTTAAATCACAACCCCAGAACTATGGTTTTTAGACACTCATGATAATATCAAAAATTTCATAAGTGTTGGATAACTAAAAATACTAAGAAAAGATGAAGAAATGTGAGATATCGTCGCTCCCGAATGTTTCCCGTGTGTATTTTCCCTTCAAAGTGGCGTCTCACTCCTCAAAATAGGCTTAGTAAGATTTATACGTGTTGGGTAGGTCTAGGGCCGAAATAACCATGTCCCGGGCAACTTGGATAAAATCCCGTCACCAGCGTCCAGGGCAGTGTGTGGCGCTGGCCCTAGTGCTGGCTTGCTGAAGATTCTGCCCGCGACGCCACAAGTGGTGTGGGGCACTGCCTGTGGCGCTGAAAATCACATTTTCCATTTTTTTCTTTGTTTTGGCTCTAATCTCGCACCTTTCGGCCCCAATTCCTTTCGGATGATTCCTACACATAAAAACACTACGAATAAATATAAAACAGTACATTTTACATCCGAAATGCATGAAACACGAGTAAAACATAAGGCAATATACATATACATATATATACTCAAAGCTAAATATCACCACATTTAACACATAGCAAATAGGCAAACAAATCCTAATCTCTCAAGTCAAGGTTAACCACGATACTTACCTTGCTCCACAATTGACTCAAGGTTCAACCATGGCCTTGCATTTTGAACAAGCCTCCGAACCAATCAAATCTAGCAAATTATTAATCAAACTATTTAAAATAAGCCTTAGGAACTAACCCCGAATGAAAGAGGTTCAATTTAGGTCATTTTTAAAATATTCAACAAAAGTTAATCCCCGGGCCTGCTTGGTCAAAACCCAAAATTCTGACCAAAACCCGATTATCCATTCACCCTCAAGCCCGATTATGTAATTTGTTTCGAAATCCGACCACAATTCGAGGTCTAAATTCCAATTTTATAAAAATCCCAAATTCTATCCAAATCCCTAATTTCTATCATGAAAATCCTAGATTAAATGACGAAAACTTATGAAATGTAATGGGTAAATGAAGTAAAGTAGATTAAGATCACTTACCAATGAATTGAGGAAGAAATTTTTTTGGAAAAATCATCTCTAAGGCGTTTAGGGTTGAGAATTTGAAAGAATGAGCTAAAATATTGTCTATCTCAGCTTTTGACCAGACGCAGATATCACAATTTCGACCTGGGGTTCGCAATTGCGAACCTTTCAAATGCGAAACATGCTTCACAATTGCGAAAAAGCCCCATATCTGCAAATGCGAACTATGGACCTCCGCAAATGCGACCTTCTAATAGAAAATGCAATCTCAGCTAACCCAGCCCCTCTTTGCAAATGCGAAGATTTTCTTCGCAATTGTGAACATGACAAAAAATTGATTCTTCGCAAATGCGAACACTGACCTTGAAATTGCAAGGTCAAAGACCTGCACCAAAACAAATTTTTACCTGCTATTTTTCTTAAGTTCAAACCACTCTGACGCCAATCCGAAACTCACCCGAACCCTCAGGTGTTACATCTCGCGCTTTTCGTACGTTAAATTTTCGTTTTCAGTTAATTGACGTAGACTCATGGATGAGATTATCTGGAGGTTGGCATATTTATGCTATTTATAACAAGCAATAAGTAAGTGCCATGAAGGAAAGGGTACACGAATTAAAGAAAATGAGTTTCGTTGAAGGTTGTCGATTTGGGATAAAATACGGGTCGAGCGATAATACTCGATATTTATGGACTATACAAGGTACCATATGACCATGATAGTAAGATGTATAAAGTGTATTTAAAATAAGTAAACTTTTAGGTAATTTGAGACAATTCTTAAGTATGCAAGTAAGTGGTAAATTACCGGTTAACAGAACATTACCTAATTACAAAATAAGTGGATAAAGATTACATTTTCCCCCATTCCCACGTGGCAGTAAGCCACACCCTAAGGAAATGACTAAGATTCATTTCTTATTAGGTGGCATATAGTTACACCTTTACTACATTTCCAAGACTTTCCATTATCAAGGAGATTTCAATTAAAGTGGGGGAAAGAAGTTATCATTCTAATAACTCTTCAAAAATTCATTCTCAAAGAAATTTTAAATCAGATGCAAAATCATTCTTAATATTCTCAACACCAAGGCATTACAATTAGAAGGGAGAAACCATTAGCAATTCTTCTTAACCAAACGATTCAAACAAGATTTAGCAACATAAAATTTTGCGGTTCTAAGGGAGTACGGTGTAACCTTTTTCAAGAACATCATACTAATTTTTCCCTACTCCAGGTATGTTAAGGCTAAGCCTTTATTTTATTTTGCATAATCTCATAATTACACAAGTTTGATAACGAGGCATAAAGAACAATTCATATCCCGAAATTTACGTATATTTTGCTAGTCTCGCAAGTTACGTATATTTTTCTAGTTTTGTAAGTTAAAATATTCTCCTTATCAGGACTTCATATTCAATTGAGTATTTTCCTCTTCTATTCAAGAGAGCAAAGAGTTTATATATACAGTATTAAAAGTATTTTCATTACCATCGAGCTATAATGGATGGGCAGGCCCCTATTGGGCAACCTCTGATCAGATGGTAAGTTATATACCGAGCCTACTATTGCCGAGCTCTTATTAGCAAGCCCAGTTGGTCGAGATACAGAGCCTAGTATGGCCGAGTGCCTATGAGCGAGCCTACTACAAAAGAGCTGTTGTATATATATACCGGGCCTTATAAGGCCGAACATCTATTTTACATACTATATTAAGATAACAGAGTCAGTATCAGCAGATGAGCATACCTTCATATTATATTTGACCCCCAGTTGCTTTCAGTTATTATATTTTCAGCTTTCAGTATATTGCCTTACATACTCGGTACATTATTTTGTACTGACGTCCCTTTTTGGGGGCACTTCATTTCATGCTTGCAGGTTCAGACAGACAAATGGGTAGACCTCCTCAGTAGGTGTTTTCCCGAGTTCAGCTTTATCGGTAAGCTCCCCATCCTTTGGAGTTTCCAGGTCTAGACGTTTTTGTGTACATCTTGTGTATATATGTAGATAGGTTATGGGTAGGTCGGGGCACTGTTCCGATCATAGTACATCCATCAGTAGAGGCTTGTCGACAAATCCTGTCAATTAGTGCAGAATGTTGGGCTTGTAGACCCTGTACATATATTTTGTTGGCTTGTTAGTTATAGTAGTTATGACGGACTTGCCGGCCCAGCTTTATGTTGATATTTAGTCAGCATTAGTCTCTATTCAGTTTTATATTTTGCTTCGCAAATTGTCTTTCAATGTGGCCTATGGCCAAAGTTTGACATTATATATCCAGAATTCCTGAGTCGCAAGTTGGTATGCAAGGATAGATGAGGCACCGAGTGCCGGTTTTGCCCCCAGGCTCGGGGTGTGACAAAAGTGGTATTAGAGCCGTTCTGCCCTAGGGAGTCTACAAGTAGGGTCTTGTTTATAGATGTGTGGTGCACCACATCATATAAGCAGGGGACTTTAGGGCATTTAGGAGTTGTTTACCCTTCTTTCAAATCTAAATTGTGTTGTAGAACTGAGTTATAGGAAATTTGAGTTAAGCTTACGTGTTGGAGTTTTCACACAGATAACGGTAACTAGGAAGACTACGGCTAGCTAGACGAGAGAGCTAGCAAGTAGGTGAGGGGACTAGCAGAGAGAGACCCCTACCCAGCCATTACCGGCTCCTCCGCCACCTGAGGAGATTCCTAGGGAGACCGCACATCCAGTTCCCCCTCCGCTTCCATCAGATCAGGACTTGAGGATTGTGGTGCATTTGTTGGCATAATTGGTAGCTACCCATCAACAGGCTAGGGCATCCGCCAGTGCAGGACCTTCTGAGAGATCTGGAGTTCAAGGGTCCGAGAGTTTATTGCTTTGAGTCCCCCAGAGTTCATGGGGATAGATCAGAGGGAGGACCCACAGGAGTTCATATATCAGCATCACAGGACCTTTCGGGTTATGCATGTCACCGAGAATGAGGCAGTTGAGTTAGCAACTTTTTGACTCCGAGATATAGCCATCCTTTGGTACGAGGGATGGGAAAGGTCCAGGGGACGTGATGCACCTCCTGCTATTTGGGAGAATTTTTTAGATACCTTCCTTGACCAGTACTTACCGTGAGAGATCTGATAGGCCCAACTCGGTCAGTTTCTAGCCCTCAAGTAGGGCAATATGAGTGTTCAAGAGTATAGTCTCTGTTTTGACTCATGGGCCAGATATGCACCATCCATAGTTGCTACTATGCGGGATAGAATCCACAGGTTTATAGCAGGGTTAGCCCCAGAGTTGACCAAGGCATGTTCCACCACTGCATTACAGGATAGTATAGATATCTCCCGGATTCAGGCATTTGCCTAGAATATAGAAAGGGGTAGGCGTCGACAGCAGGGTACGGAGAGGACTGACTCAGAGCAGCATAAGAGGATGAGATTTGCCAGATCTCAAGAGTGTAGTCTTAGGGTAGTTATAGGCCCCAGTACTTCGAATGGCCGCCTAGACCTCCGCCACCTCAGTCACAGGGTTATAGGTATGACCGTTATTCTCAGTCAGGACTAGGTGAGAGCTCTCAGGCGTTAAGTTTGTAGCGACAACGAGGTTCGGGGTAGACTTGGCCATTTACACTGCGGCATGCCATCTACACTAGAGGACACTTGGGCCAATGCCAAGCCAGTTCTGATACTTGCTATACATGTGGACGTTCGGGGCATATGATGCAAGATTTCCCAAATAGAGATTCTGGGGTATGGCGTGACCAGCGAATTCAGCATCAAGATCATATATGTATGTGCATCCTTCAGGGCGCGAGTCTTAGGCTTCGGCTGGTAGAGGTCGAGGCAGAGGTAGAGGTTCCAGTCCAGGTGGTAACCAAAATCGTAGCTATGCGTTAATAGGTCGGCAAGACCAGGAATCCTCATGAGATGTTGTGACAGGTATGTTGACCATTTGCTCTCACGATGCTTATCCCTTAATAGACCCAGGATCTATTTTATCGTGTATTACCCCATTTGTCACGGGGAAGTTTGGTATAGTGCCTGAAATACTAAGTGATCCTTTTGTGGTATCTACATCGGTAGGAGAATCTGTTATTCCTAGACGGGTTTACTGAGGTTGTACGATATTAGTTTGTGGTCGTCAGACCTTAGATGACCTAGTTAAGCTAGAGATGTTGGATTTTGTGCTATCATTGGCATGGAATAGTTGGCAGCTTGTTATGCCACAGTTGATTGCCGAGCAAAGACAGCCAGAGTTCATTTTTCGGGTGAGCCAGTCCTTGAATGGGTAGGTAATATATCGATACCCAGAGGTAGATTTATTTCCCATCTGAAGGCGAGAAAAATGATCGCAAAAGAGTGCATTTATCATATTGTGCGAGTTAAAGATGCAGATGCTGAGATACTTACACTTCAGTCTATTCCGGTAGTCAAAGAGTACGCAGATGTGTTTTTAGATGAACTTCCAGGTATTCCTCCAGAGCGAGAGATTGATTTTGGCATTGACTTGCTTCCGGGAACGCAACCAATATCCATCCCTCCATATAGAATGGCACCTGCCGAATTGAAGGAGTTGAAGGAGCAGTTAAAAGATTTATTGGAGAAAGGTTTCATCAGACCTAGTACCTCAGCTCGGTACTAGTTTTACTTAAGAAAGATGGCTCGCTAAGGATGTGTATTAATTATAGGCAACTGAACAAGGTAACTATTAAGAATAAGTATCCACTTCCAAGGATAGACGACTTGTTTGATCAGTTGCAGGGAGCTATATGCTTTTCAAAAATAGATTTGAGGTCGGGGTACCACCAGGTCAGAGTTCGGGAGAAAGATATTCCCAAGACAGCCTTTAGGGCCTGATATGGCCACTTCGAGTTCCTTTTCATGTCCTTCGGGTTGACGAATGTACCTTCCATATTTATGGACTTGATGAATAGCCTATTCCGGCCATATTTAGATCTATATGTGATAGTCTTTATTGATGATATTCTGATTTATTCACGTTCAGAGGATGAGCATGTGGACCACCTGCGAGCGGTACTCCAAACCCTCTGTGATAATAAATTGTATGTTATGTTTTGTAAGTGTGAGTTCTGGTTGAAGTCTGTAGTATTCTTGGGGCACATTGTATCCGACAGAGGTATAAAGGTAGATACTCAAAAGATTGAGGTTGTGAAATCCTAGCCTAGACCTACCACTCCGACAGAGATTTGTAGCTTTCTAAGCTTAGCAGGATACTACC